GTGTTTTCTGACAGGAAGTTTGCTCAGATGTCGCTTTGACGGCAGGTCAGGACCCAGAGTCAAGCTCCTGACCTTTCAAGAGCGCTCTGTGTTTTCTTAGGCCATGGACTAGCTGTGGCCTGTTACTGTGCAGGGGAAGTCAGCTTGGCATATGCGTAGCAATGTCTCAATATTCTTATGCTTCCTTTTCCTGTGTGCTGGGGTTTGAATTCGGGGCCTCATACACACCAGGGAAGTGCTGTACCGCGGAGCTACCTCCCCAGCCCTGTGCCCTTAATGTCTAAACTGGTGGTGGCAGTGACCTCGGTGGGAGATTAGCTGGCTCTCCTCTGCTCCTTCCATGAACAACCCCGAGTGGCTGTGTCCTAGCTCTGAGGGGGCCTTTGCTGCCCACCCCTCGCCCTCTAGCTGGGTGGCTTCTCTGTGGCGGGGTCTTAGCTCCTGGCTCCCGTAGTTTTAAATTCCCCGCAGGAGGCTGGATGTGGTGGTGCAAGGAATCTCAGTACCCGGGAGGCTGAGGCAGGAGGATCAGTGCGAGTTCAGGTGGGCTATATAGTGAGTGCAAGGCCAGCCTGAACTACATAGTGAGACCCTGTCTCAAAAACAAAATGACGCATCATTAACACAGCCCCCTGGCGATTCCATGTGTGTTGCACTGACAACTTTGGGATTAGGATTGGTGGATTGCTTAGAGGAGAGATATTCCCACTTCTGGTTATGCACTAGAAATACAAGAGTAGGAAGCAGCTTTTAAACTTATTCCTGGGCTGCACGTTCCAGATCATCTGAGTCTGAGGTCCTGGCTCTGGCGCTTCCGTTCAGCCTAACCTGAGCCTGTTGTCCGCGCTGACTGGAGGCCGACATTGTTGGTATTTCCCTTCTTCAGTTGCCTGACAGGGAATCATGATTCTCATTTTAAGGATGGAGAAACTGATGCTTAAGTGCAGCTAAAGACTGGACTGGGAGGAAGGATCAGTGAGTCCACTAGGCCAGGCCTGGAGGCCTTGACATTGGCTGCTGCTGCCTGAACCTGGGACGTGGCTTGGCGAAAGGTGCTCTGCACAGGGCGTGGGGAGCCTGGAGTGCAGAGGATGCTGTGAGTGGCGGTGCCTGGTATGTGGCTCTGTCCTAGTCACCCTCCTTAAATTCCTCCTCCTGGAGGAGGATGATCAGGCCTGGCCCAGCCACCTCTTGTGGGCTTGATGCTCTCACATGGAGAGAGTGCAGGAGGAAAGAGCAAACACTCATTTGCTTTTTTGAGAGCCTGAGGAATTTTTCAGGCATGCAATATTTAAAAAAAAAAAAAAAAATGCCTCTATTGCCCTGAAGGAGGTGCTTCACCCAGGTGACTTCAAAATGTGAGCTCAACGTTACAAAACTGCCTTTGCCCTGTCATAAGTCCCCGTGTTCTCAGCACAGGCTGGGACTGAGAGCTGGGGGATTGGGGTCCTGCCCCGAGCCCCGTGCCGCCACATGTGCCCTCTGTCACCTCACACACTACCAATTATCCTTAAGCTTCGCTTCTCCATCAGCCACAGAGAAACTTGAAGGCCACTGGGACTCAGTATCAGTTTCTCCTGTGGCCTCTTGAGGTGTCAGAGGAGAGGAGTGTGGCTGCCCCGCCACTTGCACACACAGTGTCTGGGACCAGGAACTTTGTCAAGTGTTTGCTGGCACCCACTCAGGTACTCGATGTCCCCGAGGCCTGAAGTGGCTCCAAATGGCCATCTGTGTTGGAGATCACAGTGAATGTGTTCAGGCTGGCGTCACCCCACTGCGTCAGCGCCTAAGGTGTGAACAGCTCACAGCCCGTGCTGGGCTGCTGAGGAGCAAGAGTCGTGGGGTCGTGGGCAGTGATCTGAGCTGGCCTCCAGAAAGCCTTCCCTCCGCAGTCCAGCGCCCGGGACCTCTTCCTCTCCACGGCTGCCTGTGCACCTGTCCTCTTGCCTTTGTCCCCACCTTTCCTGCCCTGCAAGAGCAGATGCTCCACGGTGATGAATGGCTGTGGGGTGGCATGAACACAGAGGCACACAGGTCTCTGCGGCTGCCGCAGAACACTGTCGGAGCTTTTGTGTGTCTGTCCCTGGCTTTCTCAACTTGACTTCCTTGTTGCCACTTGGCTTGTTTTGAAGGCCATGTCCCTGAGGGTTATCCTAAGAATAGAGCACGGTAGGTGCACTATTTTGTGAAGTTAGCGTGAATATCCCAAGGATCTTTTGTAGAGCTTTTATTCCAGAGCTGCACTGAGAGCCAGTCTAAGGTCTGGAGTCTGCTGGCCCCGTGTAAAGCTCCCTGAGTTAGTTCCCAAGCCCTGGATGTGGGGGTGGCAGTGTGGAAGGACAGTAGGGGGACCCCAGAAGCAGTGGCCTCTGGCAGTGTCCTGAGACTCAGACCTACCCTGCCTGTGACCTATGTAGGGTAGAAGAGCAACCCCACAGAGACCATGAGGATGGTCTTTCCTGGGGCTCGCGGAACCCTGGCGCAGGGCCACCCGCCCCTCCAGCAAGGTCACCATTTTGTGGTCACTGTCTTGGTCCCTGGACTAAAGGAGTCTCAGGGTCAGGCCTGGGTTTAGGGTCTTCACTGTTGTAGTCGTCAGGGAGCCTTGTGGATGGCAGGTTGGGCAGTGGGCTTTGAGGCCTGCCACTGTCATTAGTGCTGTGATTAGGCAAGTCCTTTGACCTTTCCTCGGGCCTCAGATGCCTAATTTCACAACTCTGTGTCCGTACTGTGAGGACCTCCCACTATAACTTATAGGGGTGCCCAATTCCCCAACCCCACCCCAATCAGGACCCCACCAGCCCACCCCACTGTGCATGTGGTAACCTCATTTGGTGGAAGTGTAAACTGGGGCTCCAGCCGAGCTTGGCAAGAACACTGCTGTGTCACCCTTGTCAAGTCAGTGCTTTCCGGGACCTCTGCATACACCACCATACACGGGAATCACGACGTGAACGTCCATTCCCAGCTGGTTGTGGTGGTTTATGCCTGTAATCCCAGCACTGTGGGAGGTTGCGATAGGAAAGTCATAAGAGTGAGCCGGGATAACTCACTGGCCCTGTCTCAAAATAAAAAAATGAAGAAAAGGCTAGGGAGGTAGCTCAAGAGGAAGGCTCTGGGCTCAAAGCCTAGTACCACAAAACAAAACAAAGCAACTCCAGATCCATTCCTATAAAAGATATAGGGTTCATTTGAACAGGAGGGAAAATCAGCCCCTGCTGCCTGTCGGTCGCTAGTTGTCATCTCCAGTGGAGATGCTGGTTGGTGGCATGGTTGTCTGCCCTGGTAGAGTGACTCTGTAGCTGGTGGTGGGGTCTGCTCCCCAGGGCCCACAGGGACATCATGATGGCATGGGTCTGTGTTCCCACAGCGGCCAGTTTGCCATTGTGAAGAAGTGCCGGGAGAAGAGCACAGGGAAGGAGTTCGCGGCCAAGTTCATCAAGAAGCGCCAGAGCAGGGCCAGCCGGCGGGGTGTGTGCCGGGAGGAGATCGGGCGGGAGGTGAGCATCCTCCGGCAGGTGCTGCACCCCAACATCATCACGCTGCACGACGTCTACGAGAACCGCACGGACGTGGTGCTCATTCTTGAGCTGTGAGTGGGTGCTGGGACCGTGGGTGGGGCAGGAGGGGCCAACAGGGTGCCGGGGCCAGGGGTGGGCAAGTCGGTGGTGGGCAGTGTCCTTTGGCCCTGGCTGCCTCCATCCTCCTTTTGGAACTGGCTGCAGGAGGGCTGAGCATGTTGGCTTTCACTGGACCGCAGGTGTGAGGGGAGAAGCGATGGCAGAGGAAGGGGGCGTGGAGGGGCTGCGGAGCTCTGTCCTGTGGGGAGGAAGGAGCTGCTGCCCTCTGGGCGCTGTGTGGCCCTCCTGGGCCCATCGCTGGGGACAGGCCACTGCATTTGTGCTATCTGATCCCCCCCCCCTTTTTTTTTTTGGCAGAACCAGGGATTGAACTCAGGCCTTTGTGCTTGCCAGGGAAGCACTCATTCCACTGAGCTATCTCCCCGGCCCCATATCTGATCCCTTTATGGTCACAGCGAACACTGTTATTGAAGGAGCCTCGCGTTTGTGAGGTGCATTGTATTTGTCGTGCTGTTGAGCCCTTGCCATGCCTGTGGTGAGGGGAACGTCTTACTGGCCCCAGAGAGGCTATTTGCTATTCACTGTGCTGAGCACTGCTGTTAGCTTATTTAATCTTCGTCACTGTGGAGGCGCAGAGACCCGCAGTGTCCCCATCATAAAGACTCGAACACAAGAGTCTAGGTCACTTGCCCGTCCTGTAACCAGGCCTGGAGTCCCCGTACCTTGGGCAGATAGCTGTGAGCATGAGGCAGACAGCGTTATTGTGGCCTAGCTGGAGAAAGTATCACAGCTGTTGGGAGAATTTGTACAGGTGACAGCAAGACTCAAGGGGTTGATCCTCCCGAAGGCATCTCCAGGGGTGGGCAGGAGGGCACACAGTATGGTCTGTGACACAAGTTGCAGTGGCTTCATCCAGTCAAGCAGCAGGACCCAAACTGAGAATGTCCTGTGTTGCACGGGCATGAACGCACCTGCCAGGTAGCAGGGCAGAGGTGGCAGGTGACTTAGCAAACTCTAATCTTGTGGCTTGGGTGAGTCACTAAATCCTCGCATTTAGGTTTCACCGCTACGCCAGGCAAGCTGTCTTTAATTTGTCTATGGATCGTTATAATTGAGAACTATCCTGATACTGGCAAGATACTGAGGTGAGCAACAGACGGACATTTACATTTCTCAAATTCGAGTCTTTTTGAGTCATGCTTTTCACTATGACGTTTTGGCTGGCCTTGAACTCACTTTGTAGCTGATCCTGCCCCTAAACTCACATCAATCCTCCTGTCTCAGCCTCATACCCTGCGTTCCATTTGATTCTTAGATTATCTCCCATCCCATTGTTTAAATACATAGCATCGGCTGTGCTCTGCCCCTGCCCAGCCTTTGGTGGCCTCTTTCTCTCATGGACCCCCTTAGGCAGTTGGGGCCCACACTTGCCCCAGCTGGACAAAACCTGCTGGGCAGCCCCAACGCCCCTCCTGAGGCCAACAGAAGGTGGTCGGCACCTGATTCCCACAGAGAGCGATGGGCCTGTCTTCCTAAAAGTCAAGGGCTGCATCTTTAAAAGGCTGCACTCAAAACTGCCCCCACCCTCCAAACAAGCGAAATAACAACAACAAAAAAGAAAACTCTGGGCTGGGGAGATGGCTCAGTGGCATAGGCGCTTCCCGGCAAGCACAAGGTCCTGAGTTTGGTTCCCCAGAATCCCAGGCACACCTGTAATCCCCGAGCTGGGGAGGCCAAGATAGGAGGATCATCAAGACACTGTATCAAAGAGAAAAACAAGGAAGAAAGAAAAAAGAAAAGAAAAAGAGAACTTCACCAGAACTGTCACGAAATCACAGATC